CCAAAACATTAAATAGAAAAATACTAATAATATTATTGATATTTAGTATCTCACAAAAATTTCACTTTATTAATTCAAATAAATATTTCATCTTACTTATTTAATGCTTTTCATAAATTAGCCACAAATTGTGTTATAATGGATAATTAACATTTACTTTGAAAAATCTCATAGATTTCTAATTTATGATTTAACTTTTAAAACAAAAACCATTCCTCAAAAATTGAATTAGGAATAAATGATTAATAATTGAATTTAATAATAATTGATTCATTCATAAATCATTCATAATAAATGATATTTTCTTATTTAAATTTGATTAGATTAATAATCCCAAGTCATCAAATACTCTCCATTTTCACTCATCTATCCATATATACATTCATCCCCAAATTGAATAGATTATTATGTTATAAAATCACCATTTTGGTTGCTCCTTATCAAATTAATACATTTTCCATTCTTATTCAAAATCACATATTTTGACTTGATATATTATTAAGGAAATAAATAATCACAACTATTGGAATCACATTTAACAGGAACTTCTTTTGTTTTTGAGTACTAATTATTGCTACTATTTATCTCATAAACATGCATCTACTCTTTACAATAAGGTTGAAATGTGAATATATTATCATTTATGAAACATAATCGAAAACCATACTATTCAACTGTTATCTTTTATATTACATTCCATTTTTACGATGACTCCTCTATTATTAAGATTAATTTATCTTCTCCACAAGATATCACTCTATTCTATTTCTCATTCAAACTTAATCCATATAAAGAATTTATATGATCTGTAATAGTTTGTGAACATGTCCATTAATTATACTTTATCCAAAATTTAATAGTTTTATCACTACTTCCTGATATAATAATATCTTCATTATTATTCAAAATTAAACATCTAATACAATCTTGATGTTCATTCAATTTGTATGAACAGATCCATTGACTATTTGAATTCATAGACCATATTATAATCTATTTATCATTACTCCCAGATATAAATTGAGTCGATTTCTTCATAAAATTTAAAGTTAAAACATTACTTTGATGTTCACTAAGAAGTTGAGTTAGTTTCAATTATTCTTATTTAAATTCAAATACTTTGACCGTATAATTACACCCTGCTAATACAATTGAATTATCATTATTAATAGCAATTGCATAACAATTTTCATAGTATTTAATTGAATGATTATGGATTAAATCATAAGTGAATGGCTTAGAATTTGATTAATGATGATTCTCCTGTTGAACTAACTAATGTTGATTTAATTGATTTTGTTAATAATTAGTGATCATAGGTTTAATTTGTTGAATTAATGAATGAGCAAAGTTTTGTATAGAAGACAATGATATTTAATGAAATTTTGGAGTATGATTAACAATATTTTGAAGAAGAATCAAGAAAATTGTCAATTCTGCTGAAAGATAACTAATAATGATATTCTTATATTACATCTAACTCTTATTATACTCCTTAAAGACATTCTTTTACCTTATTTCTTTATTGCTCAACAACTATTTCACAATTCATTAGATTTATTATTTAATTAATCACATTATTCAACTTTTTTCTATTTCTATTAAAATTAGCAACAGTTTTACAAAATAACCTTAATTATTTTTTTCACTTACTAATTCAAATTTACATAATCCTGCTTATAAAATCTAAAACATACTATCTTGTTTTATTAAGTCTTGATAAATAAATCATTTATGATTTAAATTTTCTATTTCATAGAATTAGATCACTGATTTATAGTAAATATAATACAGTGATATTATTTTGATGAGATTCTTCTACAGAGAGCGTTTTTATTTTCAAACTCACATATAAAATACAAAAAATCTTATTCTTTTGATAATCCTTTCATGAAAGAAATTGTTGTGAAAAAAAATATGCAAAACAATATTCACAAATGGATAGTTATTAAAATATCAAGCTTAGAAGTAAAGGAGAAATCTAATATAATTTAATAAAATTGGAGCTGAATATTTCCAAACTTTTCTATTATTCAATTGTAAATCGCCTAATTTTTAATCTAGACGCATCATTTTTAAATTATGACTTTTTTGGAAGTAATTTTAGAAATAATAGATTGATAACAGAAAATCATTAAAAAAAATATTGGTTGTAGTTCATTGATTCACATTAAGTTAGCCAACAAAATTCTACACTATTTTTATTAAAATTTTGTTTGCCTCACTTTCTTCCTTTGATTCTTTGCATTCTTATACTAAATTTGTAATTTAAAAAGATCTTTAGAATTTAAATTGTTTGAAAAATAACTATGCTAATGATTCCAATTTATTTAACAAAATAAAATTCCTTCTAACTTCCAAACAATTTAATTTGTTAAATAAATGAATAAATAAATATATTTAATAATTTGAATAATGATTCTTTTTCATAATTACTAGTATTTTCTAATTTAAATTTCTTTAGATTAATTATCCCAAGTCATCAAATAATCTCCATTTTCACTCATCTTTCCATATATATTATAAATTTCAAATTGAATAGATTATTATGTTATAAAATCACCATTTTGGTTGTTCCTTATCAAATTAATACATTTTCCATTCTTATTCACAATCACACATTTTGACTTGATATATTATTAAGCAAAAAAACAATGACATGCACCATAATCACATTTAACAGGAACTTCTTTTGTTTTTGAGTACTAATTATTGCTACTATTTATCTCATAAACATGCATCTACTCTTAATTAAAAGGTTGAAATGTGAATATATTATCATTTATAAAGCATAATCGATAACCAAACCATTCAACTGTTATCTTTTATATTACATTCCATTTTTACGATGACTCCTCTATTATTAAGATTAATTTATCTACTCCACAAGATATCGCTCTATTCTATTTCTCATTCAAACTTAACCCATATACATCACTTTTATGATCATTAATAGTTTGTGAACATGTCCATTAATTATTCTTAATCCAAAATTTAATAGTTTTATCATCACTTCCTGATATAATAAGATCTTCATTATTATTCAAAATTAAACATCTAATAAAATTTTGATGTTCATTCAATTTGTATGAACAGATCCATTGACTAGTTGAATTCATAGACCATATTATAATCTATTTATCACAACTTCCAGATATAAATTGA